AGACAACAAGTCCCTCAGGTACATTCCACTCCCGGGCGAGAAAATTTTTCATATTGATAAATTGAAATTATATTCTCGCGATCTCTAGGCTTGATCTCGCTTCAAAAAAATGCGACGTTTATTTATTTTTAATCCATGCGATTACGTCATTCATAAAGTTTAATCGATCAATATATCATTCAATAAGTTTAATCCATGAGTGTATACGTGTTACTTGATTATATGTAACGTTGAAAAATAAATTACCGGATAAAGTTACTGCAACCGCATTGAATTATTTTGTCAAAAGCGAAAATATGCGTGTGTATTTTGTTTTTATAGTGCATAAATGGACTCGTGCATAAATAAACTAACTTTTTCGCGTTTGACAGCGGTAAGCTTATAATGCACCCGCGCATATCCTCCAGCTGGAGATAAAATAATAAATAATTTTTTAAAATTTAATACGACACACACACACGCGCGCGCGCGCGATACATAAAGGCTACTTTCATCGTAAGAGCTTTAGATTAGATCGCACGGCCATTTACTAATGAAGGAGAAGCTAAAAGGAAAAGTGCTCTCGTGGCACGCTTTTCAGACTTATTCCATCGAGCGTGAATGATGGCATGCAAAGAAATTCGTTTATTCCGAAGTACGCTGGAAATTACATCTCTCTGCTCCTCCTCCTCCTCCTCCCTCTCCCTCTTTAATTTCATAATCTAATATAGTTGACGGACTGACTGGTCCGGAATATTAATTATTAAGTTTACGCGCATTAAAGCACCATGTTTTTCGTGTTCGATTAAGCCGGAACAATTTATTTCAGTTAATTTTTGGTTTGTGTCGCCGGGGAATAGGCTCTTTTATTACGAATACAAACTCGAAAAGGAAAAAATTCTAGTTGATTAAGAAAAGCAAAATTAAACGAACATTTGATTTTCTAGAATTATATAAAGAAGTAGATTGTTTAATTAATCCTTTCATGAAAAATTGACTCTACAAATTGAGTGGAACAATCTGTAATCGTAACGTTTGAGACACTCTATACATTTACTAGTTTCTCGCAATCTACCATATTTTTCAAATATTCCTCTCCTTTCAGAACACTTTGCAATATGATTGTCAGAGAGAGAGAAGAAGAGTACACGCGCGTGTTTGTGTGTATCGCGAGTCGAGCAATAGATTTTTATATTACATTCCCATCTGCACTCAAGAACGTATAATAAAATTGCAGAAGCAAATATCATGTGGATGCTGCAGAAAAAAATCAATATTTCTCAAAATTTATATTTTAAAATTTTTGTTAATTATTATTTTTTGATGTAACATCATTCTCGCATTCGACCGTGAAACGGCCTTTTTATTATTCCAATTAAATATTACAAATAAATAAACGTCACATATTTATTTTTCGTTTCACGAAAGAATGATTTCGTTTTACGCATTCGACGGGAAGTAAAAGGTAAAAGAGATCAAAGTTGCATAACGCAACATTCACAATTGTAGATACACACACATGCGTTAACGCATTCGGGCATTCCTTTAACTCGATAAGCCCGGTATCGGCATAAATTTATATCAACATGAATGCATCGACATCGCCGTTCATCGCCTGTACATCGCGCGATTTGGTATTCGCTTTTCACCAGATGCTTTTAAAGTATTTGTGTATACAAAATACGTGATGTTATTTTTAACACATGATAAAAAAATTCAAAAGCATATTTTTCACAAAAAAAAAACAACAGACGATCGCGATGAGTGATTTAAATCATGATTATAATTAAGAATATTCATCAAAACAGTATATTTACAATTTACAGTAAGTTGTTTGTCAAAAATTCGCGACAAGTATAAATATTTTTTTTCTAAATTTTTTTTTCTAAAATTTCTAGTTTTTTTTTTAAATAATATATATCGTTTTTATAACTTTGTGCAATTTCCGCAAAATGGGCGAGATGTGTACCAAGCGTACAAACCGTTTTCCGGCATTTTGTAAGACGCGCACAATAAGGGGTTAGTAACAATTTAAAATTCGCATTGTCGCGAACAAAGAGAGGAGTACGTCATACGGGGATGTAATATCCCGTTATTGTCTCGTTTGGCGTCCCGGTCGTACGGAAGAGAACTGATGGAATAACGAAGAGCATTTCATCCCCCCACTCTCCCGTTCCCGATTTATATCATATCGCTTCCGAGTCGGAAATTGTTATAACAACGTCAATCGTGCGCCTTCGACGGGAGGGGCATTCGCGATCATTTATCATCGATATGACGTTAATGAAAATAAATACGTCGATACGTTTCTCTCTATCGGTCTATTAAAATCTTTCGTTATGACTTTCCAAATCTATCGAAACGATTTTCTCTCAAATGGAAAATGTGTTAAAATTCTCAAGCTAAATATTCGCTATTAAAATTAAATACAAGATCGTATCTTGTTATCTTTGTGCCATTTCAATTTCACGTTGCGATTCGAGATTCTTGGTTGATTTTAGCTTAAAAACTACACCGATGTTTCTCGTGAAAGTTAAAAATTCTCTTTGAGTGAAAAAAAGAAGTAAATAATAGTAATAATTTAAGATAACAACTTGTACAATTTACTGCTATAAAATGCAATTTTGCACTTTTTCTATTCTTGAGAATTAGAAAGAGAGGAGACGCGAGTGGAATTGTAGCAAAATATCATAGCTCGTACATTTGTACGCATAGGGCGGCTTGAAACGTACGCAGGTAGCCGTTTAACTAACTGACGAAAGTTCATCCAAGTTCTCTCGATCAAACGAAATTAGATTTCTGCATAGGGTAAGCATTCCGCGCCGAGAGATTAATTCGTCGCGGATGGCAATCGCGGCGACGATATAAAGCGCCCCTTGATTACTCGACACGACTTCGTTTGTGACTCGGGAGTGTAATTAGTTCACTTTTAATTTCAGTACAACGCGATACATCCCGGCGAGGGTGGCGGCGGTGGCGAGTACAACGTTCAGGAAGGCTTCGGATGGACAAACGGCGTCATCTTCGAGTTCCTCCATCTTTTCCCGAATGCCCAGTCCTCGGACCAGCACGACAATGATATTAATAGTTAATGCACGTGGACGGATAAGTAGCTAATTGATTCTAGAAGTGAGCGTTAGCGCGTTCTATGTAACGATAAGTGCTACGAAAAGAAATCGACGCGGATCTCTATAGAATTTTCGTGTCAATTTCCTTTTCGAATTCAACTCTTAAGATTTAAAATCAAGGATTGACTTGTGAGCACGTTTTTTTTAGATTATTAATATATTAACGTATTAATTTCTCCTGGATGGAATACTTTTCGGAATTTTTATCCATCCTTTTTAATCACCGGTGTTGTTGAAGATATTAATTAATTTTCAATTTTTTAAATATTTAATAAAATTTATGAATCCCCCGAAAAGTAAACAAGAAATCAATAGAAATATCAGGTGTGAGAGATTACACAATATTTCAAAGCAAAATTTAATATCGGTTTTTATAAAAGCAATTATATTAATGTAAATAATTAACTCGGAAATTTTCCGAAACCTTACTTTTACAGCTATTAACAAACATAAATTCTATATAAATATGAAATTTATCGAAAAATATATATGTAGAAAAACATATGCTTTAAGTAAAACTCTAAGTATTAAATAATTATTAAATGTTTAATTAAAATATAAATATAGATAAATCAAAGTACTTTGTAACGAATCTAGTCCACAAGGGAAACCTTGCAAGGGCAGCGCAAAGATACCCCGTGCTTTCAGATTTTAAATTACACAAGTCTACTCAATCATAGGACGCGAATTGAGACGCAAAAGAGTTGTAACTGGCAAGAAAAAATCTTTTATTTTAATTTTTATCATTGCTAGATATAATATATGGAACGTATTGAATTACGAGAAAGATGTCCAATGTATGTGTGATCGCGATCACTTGCAGCGTGATATCGAATTAGCGTAAGAGTCGAGGCTGTCCCTCTCCTTTACCTCCTTTTTTCTGTCGTTTAATATCGTTGCATTTTCAGTTGCAAATCGCTAATTTATTTCCTTTATTATCCATGCTGTCGGAAAATTCTTTTCTCGAAGATAGCTGGGCTTGTTTGACGGAGATATTCGATTTACGGTACGAGATTGAAATTCTTGAAACTGTAAAACTCGTATCACATCAAGTTACTACTCTTTCGCGATTAGAGAATAAGATATTGGTATGGGTATTAACGTAGTCATTAATGTCAAATAAATATGAATTATACTATTCTATACATATGATGATTTTTATCCTTATCTCGCATCTGTCTGTGCAATCTCCATCCATCTGTAGGAAAATGCATTATAATATGTAGCTTCTGTGCACTCATTCTTCATATTTTTTAATATCACGTTGTTAAGAGCTTGATTTATGCGCGCTTGATGTAAGAGCGAAAAAAGAAAACATACGATTTGCATATTAGCGTAATTGGATCGCGCATTTTGTTCCGGGAATCGATCTTGTTAGTTCACGCGAGAAAATAACTATAACGGAGAGCAGCGTCCTTTTATTTGCAATCGCTCGCTTATTTCGACTTGTATGTTTACGACCATCCCCGGTCTTCCCTATAGTTTGCAGTACTTTCATTCTAGCTACCTTTAACGCGCGCCCCGCTCGTAAAATGCGACGACGTCATCTTCGTGCACTCTAGCTTGACATCCGGATGGTTCCGCGCATATAATCGCTTTACGTGCCCGCGATACGTCTAGATTAAAACTCAGCCGCCCTTAAAGCCGGTCTTTCGATCTTTACGTTGCCTGTTATTGAATCATTATCAATCTCCACTGGCATTATCGCGTTAAACCGCACCAATGTAACCCCTGTGAAATGCACACATTTGATACATTTTGATCTATCGCTTTCTGATACTCGAGAATTTGTTGCAGAAGTATATTAAAAATGAGAAAGCTGCGATGTGGATTTATTTTTGCGTGGCTTGTCAATATTTTGTACATTAAATATTCTTAAAATAATATTTACTAAAATAATATCCGTCGAGTTTTAGGAGATTTTTTTTACATATTGCTTATATTAGTAATAATATCGTATAATTTTGCGATTAATCTGAATTTATCGTATTTCAATTTTGCAACGTTTATTGCAAGAACAAACATATCTCTGTTTATACGTGATTTTTACATGTGATTCACTTTATATTTACAACATATATTTATTCCATAACACGCACGAGCGGATATAACTGCTGTAATTCTTGGATCGCCCGGCTTTTCCGCGCAGTAAAGTGTAATGCACTCCACCGTCCCATTCGAGATGAAATCTCGAACGCAATATTCAGCGATATGTAAAATGGTTGCTTCGGTCAGCTATAATCGCGCAAAAAATCGAAGGCTGTTACAGCTTTTCCGGCCATCAAGATACCTGTGTATTTCGACGTAAACGACGTTTTTAATCCTCTTTCGGGAAATCCGGGATCGGTCGTTACCTATTTTTCCGCTACACTTATAGTAACCACATCTACACACATCGCGCATTATCTCGCCGGAGATTAAAGCCGCGTTGAATTTAATAAGTCCCTCGTAAAGGATTAGTTCTCTCTCTCTCTGTCTTTCCTTTTTTTTTACGAAATGCCTATTAGCGTGGAATAAATATATATATATATATATTTTTTTAATTCTCTTCATTTTACTACGGTTGACATCGGGAAAAATAAACTGATGGATTATACGGGAAAATCACACCTCGATTACTCATGAGAATATTATTTATGAAGCGCAGTATTGTACCTTTCTTGATAAGATAATCCTACGACAGGGTAATCCTCCTCTTCTTGAACTGAGGGAGTTTAACGGTCGCGTTATCATTTCTTCCATTTCTCGCCGTTGTCGTAACCCAACTTGAAGAAATCCTTCAAAACGACGTTGAACGTTACGGTTACGATTCCCTCGACCCTCATGCGTGTGACTGCAATATTGCGAAACAAAGAGCTTGAAGAGGAAGCAGTAAACGATAGCGAAGAAAACTTCCGCACGTGGAAGAATCTCAGAAGTTAATAACAACCTCTAAAGTATTATTATTATTATTATTGCTATTATTATTACTATTGTACGATTATTAATGTCACAACAAACTTTTCCGAAATGTGAAAATCGCGCAGTAGCTCGAGAACTTTTTGATATATCATCAATCTTTATTATCAACGTTTAAATGAAGAAATCGTTTATAAGAAATTATTTTGAAAAAAAATGTATCTCTGTTTTCAATTAATAAAATGTAAAGTAATATTAATTAATAAAATAAATAATATTAATTAATAATAAAATAATAATATCAAAAT